TCTACAGCCAAATGACCCCAAACGCACGTCTGTACTCGTGGTCCAGATCCTCTCCTATTCACTCTTCTTCTTCAGTAGAGTGTTTGCCCATCACACACCAAATCGGTCTTTGTCAAGGTCACCAAAGAACTTTACATTGTTTAATACAATATTCTATCTTCAATACGTCTTTCACATGAACAGTAGCATTGACATGTCTGACCACTCCTCCTAGAAACACTTTATTCACCTGGTTTGCTAGAACTGCATTGCGGGCTTCCCTCCTACCCTGGGGGCCATGCCCTCCCAACTCCTGTACAGGTTCTCGTCTCTCTACCCTTGACACAGGGCCAGGCCCCACGGCTCACGCCTCCAACCTGTCCTTTCTACACTACTCCCAATGTGATGTCATCCAGTGCTGTGATTTTAAATACCACCTATACCCTGAAGACTGAACTTCACAGCAACATCTCCAACTCCTCCAGCTGCCTGCTCAGCACCTAGATGCCCGCTGGGCATTTCAGGCAGCACTTTCCCCAGATCACCCCTGCCCTCTCCCTTCCCCCCTGTCCTTCCCCCAGCAGCCCCCTTCTCCCTACCACCTCCGCCCTCCCCAAAGCTCTTCTTCCTCCAGCCTTCTCCATCTCAGCAAATGGCAACTCCATCATTCCAATTCCTCAGGCCAAAGATCCTGGAGTCATTCTTAGCTCCCCTCTTCTTTTCTTACCCATAATCTGATTCCATCAGCAAACCCCTTCTGGCTCTACCTTCAAAACACACCCAGAGTTGGATTCTTTCTCACCACCCACCCTGCTATCACTCCTGCCAGAGCCGCCACCGTCACTTGCCCGAATAACTGCGTTGACCTGACCACTTCCATCCTCGCTGCTCTGTTCTCAACACATGGCCGGAGTAACCCTGTTGGAAGGTAAATCAGGTCACCGGATTCCTATTTCACTCAGGGTGAAAGTCAGAGTCCTTACGTGGCCCACAAATCCTAAAACTCTGGCTCCCGTTCTCCCTCTGACCTCATCCCTACCGCTCTTTCCCACACTCACTCTCCTCCAGCGCGCTGGCCTGCCTGCTGTTCCTCCAGTTTACCCGCCATTTAATTACCTCCAGACCTTTGCACCTGATGTCCCCTCTGCCAGGAATATTCTTTCAAACATCCACATTCCCTGCTCAATGTCACCTCCTCAGAGAAGCCTTTCATGAGTACCTTCTATAAAATCAAACTGCACTTCACTCTAGTCCTTTACCAAGGTTCAGAGCCCATCACATGATATAACCATGTATTTTACTTACTGTCCTCCACCCTCAACTAAAACAAAAGTCCTTTTAGGGTAGGGACTTTCTAGAGTTTATTTACTGCCCTAAGCCAGAGTCTCAAACAGTGCTTGGCACATAGTAGGAACAAATATTTGTTGAAGGAATCCTTAAAACCTGGATAATAAGAAAATTCAAAGTTTACCTACACTGTACATAGTGGTCAATAAATTCATCAGCAAATGTATTATTCCCATCCTAAGACACAATATAAAGCAAAGTTTTAAATTACAAAATAGTAATTTCATTGATGACAGAGGTATGGTTGGTTGTCGGCTTTTACCTGTGATACCTCCTTAACCACCAAAAGTCACATAGAGCCCCCAGGCCGCTGTCTCCCACACGGCACCCCCGGCGGAGCTTCTCTTCCAGAATCATCTGTGCGCCTGGTATCCCAGCCAGAACACTGTTCTGGATGCAGAACTAAAATGCCTACTGAGTGCATGCAGAGACCAGATTTCAGGGATTGTGTGGATTCCCATGGATCACCTGGATTTTATTTAATTTTTATTCTTTATACAAGGAACATGTTAAATGTGTAAGTAAATGTGATTAATGACTATCACTTGAATAAAAAACAAACCTAAATCAAAGTTCAAAAAGGACTTATTTTGAACTGAAGAAGATTGTCCTCCTACCAACAGAGCAAGACCCAAAAAAGGCTAATGTCCACAGCCAAAAAGAACACTTACTAAGTAACAGAACTGGGATCCCATTTATAATTTTATTTAGAAGGACAATTAATTAAGACTCCAAGATTCAAACCTATAATTGTTTAATTATTTGCAGGGTTACTACGTTTTAACACAAACAAGGCAGAAGGCTAACAAAGAGAATGGGAAGAAATTACACTCATTGGAGATAAAGTCTTATCAAAAGAGGCTACTCATTTTATAGCCTCTTTCTGCAAAATTGAAAACAAGCAACAAAGCAAGATATCGATATACTAAAATTTCTCTGGTCAGCATCTGTTTATAATAGTCTCTCAAATACCACAAAACTGACGTGAGAGCCTCCAGTTACTTCCTGGCTTAGAAGGTCAGGTGCTATAAGGAAATCGTTTACTTCAAATTAGTATCGTCAACAGGACCTAAGTCAGGTGGGCAGAATGACTCTGAGACATGGCAAAAGCCGCAAGTCCTCATAATGACAGGTCAAAATTCTGAAGTAAAGTCAGCTGGCACATGGCAAGGTGAGTTACTCGGTTATTCGCCACACAGTATGAACTGAGCTGCTGGCGCAGGGGAAGCAGAACCAGAAGCAGCCAGAACCTTCACCAGGAAAGATATGAGTGTTAGAGGAAGACATAGACGTCAGCCCAAAGGAATCTGTAGCCTCGCAACTGTTTTAAAATTTTGATTGTAACCTGTTACTCAATGTGACAATAGTAGGGGAAAAAATGTTTTAAGTAATTTTGCTAATAGTGAACATCTGTTAAGTGCACAGTACCTGCTGGGCACTGTAGGCAGGTGAAATATGTCACTGGACTATTTAATGAAGCCATTTACTAAGCCTCATTTAAGCATTTAAGGACAACCTGTATCATACAAACTCACCTGTCTAGCACTCAGCTATTCAGCAACCTTCTCTCTCTGCAGTGTGGCCAAGAATCAAGAAGGGAGCAAAAAGACACCACCATATTCAGACACTAGCCTTCCAGGGTTCACTTTTGGGAGAAGTTGGGGACATTACTCTCTCATAGGACATTACTGGGAAAAATACACTGAATTTGAAACAAGAAAACTCAGGGTTAGAACCCAAAAGCACAACCACCTAAGGTCATTCAGGTGTTTAGCTCATTATAACCTGGTGGCTTATCTGATAGAAGAGTGTAATAAGGTGTAATGATTCCTTTAGGGCAGGGATCCTGGGGTGTTCAGTGTAGTACCCTCAACAGGCAACAGAGTTCTTAGAGCAGCATACATGCTCAGTTTTCACTGACGATCCTCAGCCATAAGAAAGATTAAGTTACATTAGATATTAGATACACTCTACAAGGAGAAGAAAGAGCAAAAACACATTTGAAAAGACCTTCATCCACTGATAACATTCAAGTAAAGGTTAGAAGGTTGAAAGAGGAGATCTCAGCTGTCCAGAATACTTGATTATTGAGAACAACTTAATGCACCACCTCCCCTACGCTGACCACCACCCAGTGTTCCAAGCAAGTGAAGTCTCAGGAAATGTGCACAGTTAAGGTATTCCCTGCTGGTGGGCAAAGGCATCCTAACCCATGCAGCCTCCTGAGGCTATAAGCCAGGTAGAAAATGGGAATCAGATTGGATAACCAACTTCAGCTCCCTAGAACACTCTGTTCAGTGCAGCAGCTCCCACCTATTAGGAAATGTCTGCTAAACCCTTCAACAGGATATCCTGAATTGGGACAACTCTTACGGGGTACACAGAGTTCGCAATCACAACCCAGGATTACAGGAGAGTATGAAAACCATATCGTTTTCACCACTTACAAGCCTGTTCCTTCTTGGGGGCTGGAAACCACCAGGTTGAAGGCAGAGAGGCAAGGGATGTAGAATCTGAGGTGCAGAGGAGCCCTGATGAAATACTGACATCAAGAAGAAGAGAGGAATGTGCGTCTCCAACCTTAAATACATAATTATGACATTACATAAAGTTGGTTCCGCTGTAAAAGGCACTGTTCTTGTCACTAAGTAGCTGAGGCTCTGTTATCATTCAGGAGGAGTGCCGCAGTGTGTTGTGGAGGGGACTGTCTCGTCTCCCTTTTAAGCTAAAAGTGGTTTTTTACACTGTGAAAGAGAAAACAGATGTGCTGAAATGTGTTTTAACTGCTTTCCGCATGAAAACTTTCTGACGAGACCAAGAAACTACCGTTCCACTGAGCTGTGACTTTTGAGTTTACTCTAGGGTGCACACAGCCTTCCAGAATTGCACTGTTTTTCAGCCCTCGAAGAGACACCTCCAGGACAGGCTCCAGCCACAGGAGCCAAGCGTGCACCACAGCACCTGAGCAAGCACTGAATGAAGGAAAGCGGAATCTGGAACGAAACTTCGTTTCCTGTCGCTGCTGAGAGAGGCTGGCCTGCCTCCTTCTCACATGGCTTAAGACGAGCTGTAAACACAGCCCTGTAGCGTGCCAGCTGGCCACGGACTCAGGGGGCTTTCAGGGGCAGCCGCTGGGGTGTGCTCCCTTTTCCTGCCTTTGACCGGTGTCATTCCTGTACAGATAACGGTACCGGAACGGCCTCCACTTCCTAGAGTCCTCATTTATGTCATGGTTCCTCTTTCGAGAAAACATGGGGAAGAAACGCCAAGCAAAAGAACCGACTGAAGGCAAAATCACGCCCATCAGCTCCTTTCATTCCTCTCCACCGTTGTTATAAAAGCTGGATCAAATTCCTTTCGTTGCCTCCCCTACCACGACCCCTACACACACCCAAGTAGATTAAGGACACCGTAAGACAGCTTGTTTTTTCCCGCCTCACAGAAAGCCTGCAAGAAATCCTCACACCATCTCAGGACGCAGGGCTCTAGCATGCTAACGAGCTAAAACCATCTCAAGCCAAGGTACAAGAGGCCAAACTTACCCCCAAAGCAGAAGGCTGCGAGGCCGGGCAAGCTGAGCGCACCTAGATGTTTGCATTTACACAAAGAAATTAGCCGGCTGATTTATGGGAGACGCCGGCTGGAGGCGGAGGAGCCCGCGCCGGCCTCCTTACCTGGGACATCTGCGGCCTCAGGTTGATCTCCTTCAGGTTGATGGAGTGTGCACGGAGGTTGTTGAGCAGCTGGCAGAGCAGGACTCCATCGCGGAGGGTCTGAGCCAGGTCGAACACCTGCGCCGAGTCCCAGGTCACCCGGTGGTTGGCGGGCAGCACCTTGCAGTGAATGAGCCACTGCGCGCACTGCTTCCAAGG